TTTGTTTTGTTTTGTGTTTTTTTTCTTTTTCCTCTTAAATAAAAAAAAAGAAAGAAAGTCACTACCTACTCATTAGAGGAAAAATTCAAAAGGAAGAGATAACAGTTAATATATGCACCAAATATGAGAGCACCCAATTACATAAGATAAATATTAATAGACATGAAAAATCAAATATACAATAACACAAATATAATGGTGAACCTTAATACCCCATTGTCACAAAGATATATATGAACTAGACAAAATCAAAGAAATAACAGAACTGAATCAAACCAGTGAACAGATGGATTTACTAGATGTTTACAGAGTGTTCCATCCAATAACATCAGAATACACATTCTTTTCAGCTGCACAAGGGAAAGTCTCTAAAATAGACCATATGTTAACCCATAGAACATGCTTAAGTAAATGCAAAGGGATTGAAGTTATCCTATGCATACTATCTGATCACAGTGCACTGTAATTGGAAATTAATTGCAAAAGACACTGCAAAAACAATGTAAACACATGGAAATTAAATAATACCCTTCTAAACAAACAACAGGTCATAGATAAAATTAAAGAAATTAAACAGTATCTACAATTAAATGAAAATAGAGATACAACATACTGGAACCTGTGGGACACAATGAAAGTGATTTTAAGAGGAAAATATATTATAATGAATTCTCACATCAGAAAACAGAACAAACACCAAAAATAGCCCACTGATGCACCTCAAGCTTTTAGTAAAAGAAAAGCAAGTCAAGATCAAAGCTCATAGAAGGGAGAAAATTATAAAGATCAGAGAAGAAATTAATGCAATTGAGACAAGAAAATAATATAGGGGCTGGGGATTTAGCTCAGCGGCATAAGCACCTGCCTTGTAAGTGCGTGATTGTGAGTTCGATTCTTGGTACCAAAAAAAAAAAGAAAAGAATATAAACAATTAATGAATTGAACAGTTGGTTCTTTGAAAGAATAAACAAAATTGATAAACCCCTGGCCAACTTTATAAAGAAAAAGAAAGAAAAAACAAATTTATACAATGAGGAATGAAAAGGGTGAAATTACTCCAGATCCTATGGAAATTCAGAAGATCATTAGTAGCTACTGTGAAATCTTTACTTGCATAGGATGAAAAACACAAAAGAAATGGACAGATTCCTAGAAACAGGAATTACTAAAGCTGAGTCAAGAAGATATAAAAATATTGAGTGACCCATATATTAATGAAATTGAAAATGTAATTTAAAACTTACCAACAAAGAATAACCCAGATCCTGACAGATTCACAACTGAATTCTACAAGAAATTTAGAGAAAATTTAATGTCAATATTCCTGAAAGTCTTTAATGAAAATGAAAAGGAAGCAATTCCCTCTAACTCATCCTTGGAGGCAAGTATTATTCTGATACCAAAGTCAGAGAAAGACTCAATCAAAAAGGAAAACCATAGGGCAATCTCCCTATTAACATAGATGCAAAAATTGTCAATAAAATACAAACAGAATGTTAACAAGTCATCAAGATTATACACTGTGACCAAATGGGATTCATTTCAGGAGTGCAGCGATGGTCTAAAATCTGCAAATCAATAAATGTAAGATACCACTTCAATAGAGCCAAAGACAAAAATCACATGATTATCTCAACAGATGTAGAAAAAGATTTTGATAAAGTCCAGCACTCATTCATGATATAAAAAAAAGCCTACAGAAAATCTGAATAGATGGTCTCTACCTCAATCTGATAAAAGCCATCCATAATAAGCCAACATTACACTAAATGGACAAAAACTGAAAGTTTTCACTCTAAAACCGGAATGACTCAAGATGTGCACTGTCACTACTCCTATTCAATATAGTTCTGAAAATATTAGCCAGAGAAATTAGACAACAGAGAGCAATAAAGAGATTAAAGACAGAAAAAGAAAGATGTTAGATTATCATTATTGCAGATGATATGATATTCTATGTGGAAGACCCCAAAAATTCCACCAAAAGTCTTCTGGAGTTAATAAGCAAATTCAGCAGCTGGATAAAAAGTCAACACTCAAAAATCAATAGCATTCTTGTATACACAACAAAGTCATTGAGAGAGAAATTATGTAAGTAACACCTTTCACAATAGCATCACATAAAATGAAATACTTAGGAATCTATCTAATAAAGGATGTAAAAGATCTATGTGTAGAAAACTATAGTACTCTGAAAAAGGAAATTAAAGAGACTATTAGAAAATGGAAAGATGTTCCTTGCTCTTGGGTAGGAAGAATCAACACTGTGAAAATGGCCATACTCCCAAAATTATTACAGAGATTTAATGAATCTTGATCAAAGTACCATTAGCATGCTCACAGAATGAGAGAAAACATTCCTAAAATTCATTTGGAAACAGAAGAGACATAAAATAGCAAAGACAATCCTGGGCAAAATAGTCAAGGCAGGAATCATCTCAATCCCTGACTTGAAATTGTACTACAAAGCCACTGGGATCAAACCAGCCTGGTACTGGCAAAACAAAATAAAAAACAGACCTGAGAATAAGTGGAACAGATTAGAAGATGCAGGCACAACTACAAAGCTACTCAGCCACTTTCTCTTTGACAAAGGGGCCAAACGTTCACTGAAAAAAAAAAGATAGCCTTTTTAATAAATGGTGCTGGAAAAATCTGCTGTGTGCTGAAGGCTAAAACTAGACCCAGGTCTATCACCATGTACTAAACTAAAGTCAAAATGGATCAAAGATCTAAATATTAAAACAGAAGCACTAACTACTGGAAGACAACAAAGTAGGTAGAAATCTTGAAGACATAGTGGTAGGCAAAGAGTTCATGAACAAAGCACAAACTACGTAAGTATTGCTTCAAAGAATCAACAACTAGGATCTCATCTTATTAAATGTTTTTGCACATCAAAAGAAATTATCAACAGAGTGAAAAAGAAAACTCACAAATATTTTAACCAACTGTCCCTCAGACAAAGGACTTACATCTAGAACATATAAAGGACTGAAAAACATCAGGCCCCCCCAAATTCAAGGATCAGTCCAAAAATGGGCATCTGAGATGAGTACACATTTCTCAGACAAAGAAATACAAATATTAAATAAATATAGGAAGAAATGTTCAACATCACTGGTCATTTGAGAAATACAAATTAAAACAACATTGAGATTCCATCTCACTCCAGAAAGAAAGGCTATCATGAAGAAACCAACTAATAACAGATGGGGCTGTGAGGAGAAAAGAATCCTTCTCCATTGTTGGTGGGAGTGTAGACTGGTACAACCACTGTGGAAATTAGTGTAGAGATTCCCCCAAACACTAGGATTGGAGGTCCTTTTCAACCCAGCTATTTCCCTTCTGAGTACTTTCCAATAGTATCTGAAAACATTATGCCACAGTGATATGTGTGCACCCATGTTTATAGCCACACTATTTGTAATAGCTAAATCTTGGAAAATACCCAGAGGCTCATCAACTGTGAAATGGATAAAAAAAAAAAATAGGTGGTAGGTTTATACAATAGAGTATTACTCAGCTATAAAGGATAAACTTGAGGGTTTTATAGGTAAATGTAGTCAACCAGAGACCACACTTACAAGTGAAATAAACCAGACTTATATGAGTAAATATCATATTGTCTCCCTAGTGTAAAAAAAAAGAGTAAATAAGATCCAGAAGTTACAATAAATAGTGAGAAAATGCTCTAAAGTAAAGAACAACTGAGTTAGGTGAAAGAGAAAAGAGAGAAGGAAAAGTATATATATATATATATATATATATATATATATATATACACACACACACATACACATGTGTGTAAATATATACTAGATAGATAACTATACTGCTAGCTTCTGTTCATCAAAAAGAACGGTGTGTTTTCATTGTGTGATTGTTTGATCATTTTTTATGCTTAAATCTTATAATCTGAACAACTGCTTTCAATATAACAATATACAATACATGAACTAGTTTCAATTTTTTAAAAATTCTGTATCATTTTTATCCTTTTTTGCTTGTTTTTAAAATTAAAAAACTAAAAATTAAAAAGACTACATACACTATATGTATAGCATTATAAACTAAAGTTAAGTAATAGTTTGATCAGTCAAAACTTGATTATTGGAACATTTTAGAAGTCAACATTTAAATTCTTTTTAACTCTTCAAACTCTTTTTTTTAGTGACCTAAAGCCTAATAATGTAAAACCCAAGAAACTATTTTAGTAAAGTATAGAAATTTTGTTTATTTTAGTACCATAAATTTAACAAAGATCATCTTAATATCTAAATATATTCTATAAGTATATCCCATATTTTTAGATATTATATATCTAATATATCGGTTTCTTGTTAAGCCTTATAAACAATAAGTATTTTGTTTAATATCATGACTGTTTTTGAGGCTAATATATATCCAAAAATTAACTTAAGAAACATATATATAAACCTAAATTACATATAACCTTTATATTATCAAACTTTAAGACTTTTATCTGTAAGTTTCACGAAAGCCTGGATTCTATTATTCCTTATATATTAATATTTGTAGTGAGGCTGACTCAAATGAAAACTTTTCACAAGATCTTTTTATGAGAAGTCCCCCAAAATTCAGAAGTTTGTAAGAGCAAAAACATTTAAAAATAAAAAAAGAAAGAAAAAGAAAATTGATATGAGCTCATAAAAATCTTTAATGAAATAGCTGTGGATATTTTAACCAGTGACTAAGACAGATTAAGTAAACAGATGAATAAATAGGAAACGTATAGAGCACACAAAAGAATTATTTTTAAATTAGAGGTTTCTTTTAGATGTATTGGGCAAGTTGAATTATAGCAAATGTTCACATAATTTTAGGTTTGTAATTACAAATAGACCAATCAGAACTTCTTAAAGGGATCATTAATTAGTGCTTTTATGTAAATTGTAACAGAGTTCTCATAATTAGTTAATACTGGTAAGAATTGGAGGAGGAGAAAAGCCCTTTTATTTCTGTGAAAGCAAGGAACATGTCAGGAAAGATGAATCTGGTGGTTGGGAGAGCTGTCACTACAGGTACTAGTGTATTCTGTACAACAGTATGGAAAGCTGCCCCTCTGACAGCCAGAGCTGCCTTTTTTGGTACATTTTTCAAAGAAGGGATAGACTGTTAAAGGCATAGTTTTGTAATTTATTGATTTATTTATGTGTAAACATTGTTTATTGTCTTCCAGAACATAGGTGAGTCTGATGTGGGTATAGAAGGTCACAGAATACCTTTTTTAGGGTGTGGAGGACCCAAGGAGTTTCCTGTTTGAAGATACATTTCAAAGAGGAGATGGGAGCCAAGTTCAGCTTCGCACTCTCTGGGAGACATCTCAGAGGAAGAGAAGGTATCTTCCACTTTTTTCACTGGAATATGTACTGCCAAGGCAGCCCTCGGTCCCTGGCGAGGTCAGAGTTGTTCATGACTGTGACCGTGACCTAGACTGAGAGGGGAAGAGGCTGTTGAATCAGCTGCTCTGATTGGGGTGCCCTTTGCCCTCTCTCGTGTCCCTGAATCCCTTTGTTGTAAACTAAAGCTGGACTTTCCTTACCCAAAAGAAATTGAACTACCTCTGGAAGCATAACTGAAGACCCAGCTCAAGGTCCCCTATTGCACACCAAAGAGTAATCAAGGGTGAACTGAGACAGGGGCTGGGGCCACGGAAATGGGCAAAGTAAATAGTCTACTTATTTGAGAGTTAGTACCAGAGCCTGTGGCCATGCTGGAGCAACGAGGAGATTTAGCAGGAAGAACATAGGCTCAACCAAACCAATGAGAGACTATTTCTGGAAATAAACTTTGGTCTCCATAAACCTTTTTCGATACACCTGACCCTCCTAGTTTAACTGCTGTAACCCACCTCTTATAATTCAGTAAGACAAAACTCTGCCATACAACATTTTCCTATACCAAAAATAAATCTTTATACTCATAACTTTTTAAAATATTTTCTTTATATTTACTGGCTTTTTCTTGTTTTGTTTTGCTTTTTGGTAGTAAATCTAGTAGCAACTGGATTTTAAAACAACCTTAGTACACATTGCTTTGGTCCAGAGTGAGTTTAAAGGTGCTTCTATTCCAGTTAGGACTGGCTGAGGAACAGACCATCAAGTTGCTTTGAGTAGCATTTTTATCTTAGCCCAAGTAGAAAGCACTAGAAGAACAAGTTAACCCTGTACGCTCAGTTTAGTAACTATCCCAGGGCACCTGAAATGTGTTAAGCATATCAGTTGAAAAAACGCCAGGTCAAAATGGAATCTAAAAGTAAATTTACCTGTCAGATGAGGTTCGCCCCAACTGGCACTTGTTACCTGCTCTAAAATTTCCAGGAAGGCCTATTTCCTTACTGGTTACCCCTGCAGAGTTGTTAACCCCAACTTTGTTATCTGTCAAGACTCAGTTTATGCTGCATGATGTGTAAGAGCTGTTTTTTTTTTCATTAATCTCAGAAGGGAAAGTTAATATAGTTTGTCAAAATCACCGGTTTGCTTGACATTTAAGAAGCAAGTGACACAGGGAAACAAAACTCCCAACCCCTTGATGTCCAGTACAAGTTCATGTTCTCTAAAATTGAAGAATGAATTTTAGGAACAATGGAAGTGAAGAGCAGAATATGTCTATTGAGAGAAAGAAAACTTCTGTCTGAGAGAGACACAAATGGGGTCCCGAGCGGGTTTCCAAAGACTCTCTTTTCTAGGGACTTTCATAGAGTAAAATCATGAGGTGAAAGGGGTCTAAGATGGGGGAAACTGGAAACTCACAAGGCAAACAGGGGTGAGATGGGATAGGACTATGGTTAACCAGTAAGATTAATTATTCAAGTCAAATTCACCTCATCAGGGACACGTGGGGAAGTAAGACCCAGGGGCCGAGAGCTTATAGCGGCTGTCTTGGATCACACTCCGCAGGCTGATGTCACACCCAGTTGCCCCACCAAAAGCCTGCGTGGGTTCTCTTAAGAAGCAATGAGGACAGCAGTCTCTGATTTGTCCCAACTGCGGAGCAACTCTGCCCCAGAATCTTGGAACTTCAGAAGTGACAGGTCACATCCACCAACCGCTTTCCACGCCCTAATCTGCCTCGCCACTGCAGCAGGAAATCTGAGGGCTTAGTTTTCACCAGCACTAATGAGGAGCATCTACAAATCAGCCCCAAAGAAAGCAAGGCTCAGATGATAAAGTGCTTTGTAGGCAGTGCTGGTTTTTAGGGTGTATCTTGCAGGTCCTATCATGTTAAAAAAAAAAAAAAGATTTGGAAGAAAAGAGAGCAGAGGCAAGTCAGCTGTGAGGATTAATGGGATTAATGGAACATACTGGGAAATTAGATTTGACAGGAAAGCAGAGCCTTCATGCCCAGATTTCAGCCTTGGGAGATACGTTGTATTGCTGCATGAAGTTAATATTTGGGGGATGAGATAAAATGATATTCATTTCTTAGCATCAGAGGAAATACTGCGCTCTCTTGCCAGTCACCCAGGCTGAAAGCACTGGTTGTCTCTCTGCCTAAATCCACCATTATTAAATACTTACATAAATAATACATCATCTCTGCCTTCTGGGGCCTTGTTCTCTAGCACAGTGATAACAGAACACACCACTACCCTGAAGCGTAGGATTGTAGTCATATTAATATGAGAAGTCTAAATTCTTCACGCTGGGAATAGATCAGTTTTTAGAAGAAAGCTGAGATAGGTGAAGTATGCTTGTGCTGAGGGAAATTCGGGAGGAAAACAGCCTTGGCCATCCTTGGAGGAGCATCTGCAGCAGAGCCAAGGCACTCACCAACTCGGGAGAACAAAACCCCCTTATCCTCCTTCAGACAAGAGACGCCCAGGGAGAAGCAAAGCCTCTGCCCACTGGAAGCTATAGTGGGAGCACTGCAAGGATGCATTAGGGGCATTCTCCTTGGGTTCTGTCACAGAAAGGGAACTGGAAACTCTTCCGTGAGGAGTTAGGACGCGTGGGGTACAGACAGTCCACTGTGTTGGCAGGTCCCACATCTTCAGGTTCAGCCAGCAGCAAACTGAAGATGCTGGAGAATAACTGCACCTATGGTAAACATATGCGGACTTCTTGTCATTGTTCCCTAAAAGACATAGTCAGACAACTATTCACACTGACTTCACATTGTGTTTGCTATTGCAAGTAGCTTACAGATAATTTAAATATATAGAAATATGTGCAGAAGTCACTTCAAACGCTAAGCCCTTTTATATAAGGGACCTGAGCACCCTCGGATATTGGTATCCTCAGAGATCCTTGAGCCCACACCCATAGAATCCGAGGAATGACTCTGCCTAACAGGGTGCTATGGCTTAGAGCTAGATGTCCCCCAAACCCTCATGTGCTCAGGGGCTGGGCTTTTGGGAAACAGCTGGATCATGGGTGAGTGGTATTGGATTACTCTGCTGATTAGTTCAACACAATGCTGGGTGTGGATAATAGGAAGATCCACCCTGGGTGTGGGTGGGACCAAAAGTAGGCTTGTAGTTTGAATGAAACAAAAAGGGAAAGGGAGGCTGCACTTCCTCCATGTCTTACCATAGCATCAGGTATCTGGTCCCAGCAATAAGGAAGTAACTAAGACCAAGGGGACTGAGGGAAAACAGATGACAAGAGGTGCACAACATGAGAATGAAAACAATAATTCAGAAAAATTAAATTCCCCAAAAGAAAAGACTTGATCAAAAACAGGCAAGAGAAATGGATAGACACCTCTCACAAGAAGAACAAATGGCCAATAAATACATGATGAAATGCTCAGCATTTCTGGCCATATAACTCGCAGAAATGTGTTAATTTGAATGTGCAGAAATACAAATTAAAACAACACTGAGGTTCCATTTTACTGAAGGAAGAATGGCCATCATCAAGTAATCAAATAATAACCAATGCTGGCGAGTCTGTGGGGAAGAGAAACCCTCCTACATCGTTGTTGAGAATGTAAGCCAGTACAACCGCCATGTAAATCAGTGTTCAGCTTCCTCAGAACACTGAAAAGAGAAATTCTGTTTGATCCAGCTATTTCCTCTGTGGGTATCTTTTTAAAAGAGTTAAAGACATCACATTACATTGATGCATACATATCTGCATTTATAATAGCTCAGTTCATAATAGCTAAATCTTGAAAGCAGCCTATGTGCCCATCAGCAGATGAAAGGATAAAGAAAGTATGATATTTATACACAATGGAGTGGTACTTTGCCACAAAGAAAAAGTTAAGTCATTTGTAGGAAAGTGGATGCCTTTAGAACTATACTGTCAATGAAATAAATTAGACACAAAAATTTAAATGTTGCATGATTGCTCTTATATGAGTAAAGAGTATAATAAAAGATAATAGAAAATAGGGAGATAGATCTTCTCAAAGGGGAAGGAGGTGGGGTGGAGGGAAGGAGGGAGGAGGGAAAAGAGTGAAGGGGGATCAAAAAAGAGAGTTAAGATGTGATGTGTACCATGGACCAAGTCCAAACAGTGTAAACATCATGCAAACATGGACGAATGAAGAAAAGAATGAGTCTTAATACACAGCTTCACCACTTTTCTTTAAAATTCAGGAGCAAATTTAAAGTATAAATTTCAGCTTTTGACTATTTTGTCGCTTTCAGATATTTACCTGGACATTTGAGTTTTTGAAAACAAAGGAAAATAACTGACTTTCTATAGTCCCTAATTCCAGGTGTCCAGGGACAGAGGGCCCAGCAAGAGGACAGCAGGACTTCACAGTGGTCAGGAATTGTCATCTTGCCCTTTGCATTAGTAGTTTTATAACACTTTCACAACAGTGTATTGAGGAATCATCATCCTACGTCTTCAATGGAACATGAGACAAAGCTAACATTTTGAGTTAAAGTTAAAGGACAGCAATTGTTGTAGATAATCAGTGCTAATAACTAATAAAGTAACTATTCAGACAAAGATGTTTCAAAAATTCATTTCAACTATAGCTTCACTTTCATTCAAGTTAATAAACATTTAATATTTTATTCCACTGTCACATATTTTATCTTAAAATAGAACACATATTTGTGATCCTTTCCCAGAGATTAGAATAAAAGATTTGTTTTTAGGTTATGACAAGGATAATATTCTCAGTATCAACATTAAAATTACAAACCTAATGAAAATGTTGATGCTGAATTATTTCTGAGTGTATTAGTCACTTGCTTTATTTCTGAAAATATTAGCTACTTATATTTTAACAATTTTTCTTTAACCACACTCCTAGTTCCTTGAAAGCAGAAATGGTGTATCCTCCTTGCAATCTTGTCTTCCTACACAATACCCTGCAAACATTAGACATCCAACAATGCTAGAGGAAAGACAGATAATGTCAGTATTTTAAACCTGAATAGTAAAATCAAGAAAAGTGTAACTGTTAAAGGAAATGGTAAGACAAGTTGTCTTTGGACAAACTGGGCCATACATAATTGAAAGTTTCCAA